TATATATCATATCATGATTATTTTTGCAGATATATTATCAATCAGTATGATAAAGTAAGCCAGTAATATAACAGAAGAATATCACCATTAGCAAAATAATGACTGTAAGGGTCAACAGGTTTGAGGGAACTCTGAGGTTAAAGAGCCAAAATCATGTGGTATTCACCTTCCAGCAAAGCCAGCTGATGAAAGCACAAGTCTTTTAAAAATGAAGACTATGCTGTGTTAATGCCAATGGCAAAGTAGTCTGCAGACCAAAACTAGTGGAGATATTTCACATAGGAAATTGGCTAGTGAGCCTAGACTGTATATCTAACATTTTATACAGAATACTGTATACTTTCATAACTGAAATTAGTGGTAAACGATCATCTCTTATTTGAACTAATGGACCATTTGAAAATTTGTTAGTAAAAAAAGGAAAGCAACAAACGATAAGCACAAATACGTAGCTGGAATGGTGTGATGTTGGAAAGCTCCATCACTCCTTCACCTTTTGCCCTCCAGTCCTATTCACCCTCAACACACCCCAGAACAACTAGAACGTTATTTTCCCTCCCACTAGAGTTAATCAGAGGGAAATTAGGAAACACTTGTTCATAGGAGAATCTGCTCCTCCCACTTTACTTCATTAGTGGCAAATGGATAGAATGTATAAAGACTCTAGTAGTCCTGTGAAATAGATACTACTTCACATCTTAGAATCATAACATTGTGGAGTTGGAAGGGAGCCTGAGGGTCATCTAGTCCAACCCCTGCAATACAAGAATCTCATCAGGCAGTTCCCCATCCAATTTGAAACTATACCAGACCCTGCTTAGCTTTGCAAATGTGCTTGCACAATACAGTGGTACCTTGGTTCTCAAACAACTTGGAATCCAAACACTGCAAACCCAGAAGTGTTCCAGTTTGCGAACTTTACTCAGAAGCCAAACATGCTCCATTTTGAATGTTACGCTTCCAATTTGAGTGCCACACTTCCATTTTGAATGACACACTTCTGTTTTGAGTGTCTGAGGTCTGTCTGTTTTTGCTATTTATTTTGCGTTTTTGCGGTTCTTTTTGTTTTTGAGACTGTGTAGAACCCAGTTCAGCTACTGATTGATTGATTGATTGATTGATTGTGTGACTGCAGTACATTGTTTATTACTTTAATTTTATGGATCTATGGTCTCGTAAGAGAGTAAAATTCATGTTACATTGCTGTTTTAGGGGTTGTTTTAAAAAGTCTGGAACAGATTAATCCATTTTGCATTACTTTCTATGGGAAAGCACACCTTGGTTTTGGGTTTGGAACAGGCTTCCAGAACAGATTAAGTTTGAGAAACAAGGTCCCACTGTATTGTTACTCTGACTGGCAACATAGCTTAGTGTGTCCTTATTATTCACAATCATAGCACATAGCGAGCAAGGAAGGACTCTTGACCTTGTTTCTGGCATATAAACAGTAACATATAAGAAATATATACCCTTCATCTGTTTACCTTGATCTCTCATGAATCACATAAAGGTTTCATGAAAGATAACAGCTTTTCTTCACAACAAATTCTCAACCTCACTTTGAAATGAAATCCCTACAGGAAACCATGATCCTACAGCCCCAATTGCCCACCATACTTATGTGATAAACCACCCTCAAATCCATTCACAAGCAGCTACAACAAGCAGCGTATCTTGTTTTTCATTTTTCCCTAGCTCTGAAACACAATTGCCCAGACCCAAATGCTTTATAGTCCCAGGCCACAGCTACATAAATGCTCAGCTGCACAGCCATCCACCCAGTGACCTAACACCACCTTCTAACAGCTCCCCAAAGAGGTTTAACACAGCATCCCAAGCTACATGAGGCCTCTTACCTTCAAAAACAAACAAACAAAAAACCCCCACCCCTCTCTGTTTAAATCCCTTCTCTCAAGTCACTGACAAATTTAAGGGGTCGTGCAGAACCACTTCAGTTACTTAAGTCCTCATTTCTCCAGAGCACACCTGGCTAAGGCGGATCCCAAGGATCCGTTGACCAGAACTGCCTTTTCTCCCTCATTTTAGGTGAAACTCGCACAACTCCTTTAAAACAGCCGCAAAACCGCAAGTACACAATGCAAAACGCCGAGCCTTAGATGAATCCATCCTAAGCAGAGCTTGGCGAAAAAGACGTCAGCAGTCACTTGTTGGCTACAGCAGCAGAAGCCTGCAAAAAAACAAAACAAAACCCCAGAGCAACGGCGAAGTAAAAAGTGCACCGAAAGGGGGCAAATGGGGAGCTGCGAGGGTAGGGCGGAGAGAAAGAGGAGCGAGAGAGGGAGATGGAATGATTGATTGCCACGACCTTCCACCCAGGAAGGAACAGGCCTGGCCGACATTCCCATAAATAGACATACATTTATTCCCGCCAACCTGAACTGTGCAGGACGGCTCCGACCACTATGCCCTCAGGCCCAAGTCCCTCCCGGCTAGCTGCGCACCTCGGGCGCCCAGCGGCCTTCCCTCTCGGCCGAAGCCAGGAGGCCGTTCCCTCCCCCGGGCTGTCCTTTACCTTCCCCTCCCGCCGGCGCCCTGCCCAGCCCGCGCCGCGCCCAGTTCACCGCGAACTTTCCCGGCGGCGGCGGCGGCGGCGCCCTTTCCCCTCACGGCTCCCCCTTCAGCCGCCCCAGAAAGGATACTGAACACCGTCCGTTCCCAAGGCTCCAGCATGTACAGCGCGGTGACCAGCAGGTACTGGTAATAGAGCCACGACATCTGCTTCCAGGCCGAGCTCAGCGCCATCTCGCCGGCAGCAGCGCCTCCGCGCGTCAGAGTGCGCCGCCCGGAGAGAGAGACGCACCCGCTCGGAAGGAGAGGCGGAAAGGCGGCCGAGGGGAGGCGGCCAAGAGGCAGGGAAGCCCAGCTTCCTCCGCCGATTGGCTCAGTCGCTCCTCGGCCCGCCCCACCAGGCCGGGCCTAAGCCACCCGCCCGGGGCGACCTATGCAAAGTTCCGCCTCCGCCGATTCGCCGCCCTTGAGGCCGCCGCTTGCAGCTGCCTTTTGCAATAGCGCCCCTCGCCTTACCTAAGCATGAGGCCTGCTTCTGAGGCAGGGTTGCGTCGGAGCGCGGGGAAAGAAAGCGGCTGTTGCGCTTGAGGCTTCGACTCCGCAAACTTGCGCAACTTTCATGGAGCTGCGAGGCTCGGAACTTCTCCCAGAGCCTCCTGGATTAGGCCAATAGCCCACCTATGTCATGGAATCTTAAAAGAATTGGAAGGGATGCCAAGGGTCATCCGGTCCCAACCTTTGACAAGGCAGGAATCTCAACCAGATCATACATGGCAGGTGGCCCCCCAACCTCTGCTTAAAAATCTCCAAGGAAGGAAGGTCCACCACCTCTCTTGGGAGTCTCTTCCAATGTCAAACAGCTCTTACTGTCAAGAGAGTTCTTCCTGATGTTTAGTTGGAATTGCTTTTCTTCTCACTTGAATCCATTGGTTTTGGTCCAATGGAGTAGGAGGAAATAAGCTTGCTCCACCTTCCAAACTATGGATAACGCAATTCCAAAATCTATTAAAACCTTCAAATTACTAATTTCCAAGGCAGTTCACAAAAGATCGTAAAGCAAAGTATTCAATGAACAGATAGATCCTTAGAAAGCTAATAATAATAATAATAATAATATTTTTAATAATATCTTTATTGTCATTGCCCCCTCTCGGGGACAACAAAATTACTTGGCTGCTCCATCCACCCAGGTAGGGCACTCCACACAAAATCAAAACAACTATAAAAACACTAATTAAAACAATACAGTATAATACAGCAAGGAAGATTAGATGACTTTCAAAGTCCAGGCTTCCCATTCAGGGCCGAGATCGCTCTGGAGAAAGCTGTTCTTAAGACGGCTTGTTCTTGTCTTCATCGTCCTGTATCTCCGTCCCGACGGCAGGAGCTCGAAGAGACAGTGACCAGGATGCGATGGATCTTTTACTATGTCCAGTGCCTTCCTATGGCACCTTGTGGCATAAATCTGCTCTAAGGTAGAGAGTGGGCAGCCAACAATGCTCTCTGCTGCCTTAAACTCTGCACAACCCCATCCTGTCCTGGGTAGTACAGCTTCCGTACCACACACATAAGCCATAAGTGAGCACGCTCTCAATGGCACAGTGATAGAAGGCAAGCAGCAGTTTCTGCGGAAGATGGTTTTTCCTTAGAATTCTCAAAAAGTACAGTCTCTGCTGCGCCTTCTTCACAAGCCCCCTTATGTTGACACTCCAGGACAGATCCTCTTGTAATTCAATGCCCAAAAATCTGAATGTTGTTACCCTCTCCACACAGACCCCATCAATCAAAAGTGGCTGGACATTGCTCTTCTGTCTCCTGAAGTCCACCACAAGCTCCTTTGTCTTCCTTGTATTTATGAGCAAGTTGTTAGCTCTGCACCACTCTGTCAGCCGCTCCACCTCATCTCTATAGTCCGTTTCACCCTCCCTTTCAGAGATGAGCCCAATCACGGTTGTGTCATCTGCAAATTTGACGACCCTATTACTAGGGTGAGCAGCGACACAATCGTACGTGTAGAGAATATATAGGAGCGGACTGAGTACGCATCCCTGTGGTGTTCCTGTGTTAGTCTTAAGCATACTAGAGGTATAAGGGCCCAACTGAACCCTCTGGGGGCGGTCTGACAAAAAGTCCAATATCCACCCACAAAGTGATAACGGAAGCCCCAGATCTTCCAGTTTAGACATCAGACGTTGTGGTAGAATGGTAAAATTCAGCTGAGGTGAATTTTAATGTTTTAGTAGTTTAACTTTTTGTTATGTTTTAAAATATTGCAATTTTTCCTTGACTGCTGTTTTTATCTTTTTGTAAACTACTTTGAGGGCTTGTTACAATCAAACAGTGTATAATTTTTATGAAATAAATAAAAGAGGCTGCACTAACTCAATCACAGCCGAAATAAACATACAGCTGAAGTATACAGTCAAGAATAAAAGTTTTCACCTGGAACCTAAAAGACGGTAATACTTCTATCACTTCTACATATTATTTATTCCAGGGAAAGCTGCAATATTTATTTTTTTTACAATAGCATTTCAGCAATAAATTCTACCAACTAATCTGCATTTTATAACACATTCAAAGGTGTTTAAATTATAGTTTTTACACAGCCTATAGAAAAGGACTTAAATGACAAGAGTTTGATAGGTAATAAACCAAGAACACCTCTGTGATTGTTTTTACTTGATATATGGATACCGCTTTTAGGAAGGTGTTCAGCTTTTTGATGTTAGAGAGAGAAGGCAGTCTTGCTATGAGAACAAGATGGCCAACCTTAAATTGTAGCAAGAAACAAGTACACAGGGTTTCCAAAATATTGGGGTGAATAAAGAATGGAAAACAAAAAACAAGTCTTGAACAGAGTTTAGTGCTACCAATATCTGATTTACACAAACTAAAGCTCAACTCTTACAGTAATGCTTATAGCAACATTATCAGGCAGCCACGCCACAGACTATGGTCTAAATTCCCCCAAGATCAGAACATTTAAATTCTAAATAGCAGGATAAAAATATTTATATACATAAGAAACTGTTCTAAAAACATGAACTATATACATAACTAAAGTTCACTTGCTTTACCGATACAGGGTGTGTGGCAAGGATACAATTTTTAAATCAGATTAATAGACGATACAAATGAAACAGAACAGTCCTTGGCTTTTGAATTTTTATGCAAACTTAACCCAATGCAAAATGCTGCATCTTAGCAGTGGCTTGCTAGAACATTGAAAAAATGAAAGACTTCATCCTTATCTAAGACAGCCACTTCTGTTGAACATTCAGTACATTTTACTGGATGATATATCTCCTCCTCTTCCTGTTTTTCCTGACTGGCAATGGATTCACTACTCTGTTTAATTTTCTTGTGCCCTCTCTTTGTCTTTTTGTTCAATGGACCTTTGTATTTCAGAATCTCTTCTTTGATAACGGTGCAATTCATGACAAACATTGCTCTGTACTGAGTTCTGTATGATTCGTGCCTGAAAAAAAGAAGAAAAGAAGTGGGAATGCAATAATCTGTTGCTGATAAAAATATTACAAAATTGGTAACCCCTACATGTCCTGAATCCAGGAGATCTGCAGATTTAAGAAGCAAAGATGAAAGAGATATGTCTGAATTCCAGTAGAATAACCACGATAGCATAGCCAGAAAAAGATAAAGAGTATGAAGCTTGTTAAAAACTATCTGGCTTATTTGACATGGCCCTTAATAGTCAACAAACTGTTCTATCTGATGAAGCCGACTGTTATCACTGAAAGTTTGTGTCAGAATAATAACCATTTTGTCACTGTCTCCCTATAGTTTTCTAGTGGTTTTCCACTATAACCTCTGTGACATTTAGCAATAGATGGGCATATTCTACCTCTCACACACACACAAAATCCCAACCAAAGTGCCTCAAATTAATCTGGTCCCAATTAGCAACAACAAGCCAAAGTTAAAGCTCTTAGCTTTGCTTATTGCAGGAGTGGCTAACCTGTGGGCATCCAAACATTGTTGGACTTCAACTCCCATCATCCCTTATCCCTGATCAGGCTGGCTGAGGCCGATGGGCACTGGAGTCCAACCACATCTGGTTATAGCTACAATAGAATGAAGTTGCTTTTTCAAATTCAGAAATCTATTTAAAGCTGTCTTTTATTATTAAATTTAAAAATAGAAGCACAAAAAAGGAAGCACTTCATGCTGGAAGTCAATGTTTCGCCGAGACAAAGTAAATCTGCTGAACAAAAACTGTACATGTATTTCCAAGGGGGCGGAATCCTTTCCCTCTTCCCCAGTGCTTGACAACCAGTGCCGGATTTACATATAAGCTAAACAAGCTATAATGTAGGGCCCCACTCTCTTGGGGCCCCCCAAAAAAATTAAAGGGAAAAAACCCTGGATGTACATTTCCAAAATAGAAGATAAAAAACAAATAAAATAAAACCTACATACAGCAACCATGTTTTGTGTTGTGTAGGCTCCTATTTGTTATGTGCAAATGGCTTTAGATACCTATTAGGTCCATAAATTACCATATAGCATATATTCAACACAAAAAAACAGCAACAAAGGACAGGTGGACATAGAAAGGGCCCCATTACCTTCAGTAACTTAGGGCCTTATCAAACCTAAATCCAGCCCTGAGTTTACCTCTCTTTAAACATGGAGACAATATTATGACCAACATCCTAGTTAATGAAAGGCAAGTTCATGAAAACCGGACAGAGACAGTTGAAATTACAGGGTTGCTGTATGAACAAACACTAGCTTATCTCATCTGTTATTGCTGTACCTAAATCACAAGTTTCTTAAGGCTGAAATATTACCTCTGGCAGTCAAGGCACAGTGTGGTCATGCATGCAGGACAATTCAAAACAGCGTCACTGCTGGGAATGGCAGGAAGTTTGGCTTGTGGCTGTTGTGAGTGAAGACTTCTTAACCTATGATACCTACAAGACAGTATATTATAGGTCAGGAGAAACATTCTTACTGGTTAAGCATCTTTACTGAAACTGGTGTATATCAAAACTGCATGCCAGGAGCATGACAGTTGCAAGCACTGCATGTTCTCAGTCCCAACACATTAAAAAAAATACTTTTTCCTCTTTTTGATTTTTTTTTAAACCACCACAAAAGGGGAAGAAAACAAAACAAAGTTGCTAGTTCAGATTCACTGTGGTAAAGATCAATACATCCATCTTAATTCAGACAAACAGATCAGTATATGCCCTCCAATTGTCAGAATAGGTATCCAAATGAAGTTGATTTTTACAGAAAGTGTGTTCAAATGTAGTCAGAACATTAAGGTCTTCAAACTACCACATAATAGCTGATAGTCCATTTTTGTTGTCAATCCTAGGCACGATTACAAGATCCTGCTCCAAAATGACAACCCCCAAATTAAAAGCTTGCATGCATTATCCCTATAGACCTGTATCTCTCTCTATTTTAACCACATTGTTTATATAATAATAATAATAATAATAATAATAATAATAATAATAATAATAAAATTTATTTATACCCCGCCCTCCCCAGCCAGAGCCAGGCTCAGGGTGGCTAACATCAGTAAAATTACAGTAAAAAATATAATAGGGGGAAATAATAATAATATTTCAGATTCTTTCACACACACAGGGACAAACTGGTATGTTAATGCCAAATACAGGGCAACTCCACATCACTCCAGGAACATATATAGACACCACCATAAAAAAAGTGCTGACATGGGTGGTGCCCACACAGGCAGAGCCAATGATCATGTTCCTTGGTTGGTCAAAAGGAAAGCCAATGCTTACACTTGAAGGGACCCAGAAGAAAAAGCTCCCACCAAGCTGCAGGTAAATGCTAATCAGACTTAAGTTCCCCATACATGTCTGGCAGACTGATAAGTAGCTATATAATATGATATAGCTAATGTTATTCTTTAGTGTATGCTTTGAATAATTTGAATGATTGCTCTCTCTCTCTCTCTCTCTCTCTCTCTATATATATATATATATATATTTGACAGATAAGAGAACTGGAAGCCCCTCTTTCTTCTCTTCTCTTTTTTTAATTTAGTTGTTTTTATTTTTAACTTTTAGAAGTTGAAGGGCCCTGGAAGGCAGGTAGAAAGGATCTCCCAGAGCAGGAGGCTGGGAGAAGAAATAGAAGCTCCCGGGTCAGAGCTGGGAGCGTCTACTTTTCTCTGTATGGATGAAGGGATATGATGTAATTATGATAGAGGACTTTTGTATTCATCTCCCCTTGCCTTTCTATCTCTTTCTTTTTATTTTGTATTCTTATTATTTTATGTTATTTTCCTTTAGATTAGTTTGACTTTTATTGTATTCTATGCTGAAATTTTTCAATAAAAATATTAATTTTTTAAAAAGTCTTAAGTTCCTCATGATCCCATCCCATCAAATGTTTGAGTGGAATTTTATCATAGAGTGCCTTGCAGGAGTACCATTTGTTCAATTACTAAACAATCTAACAACAGTCAATAAATGATTTTTATTCCCAACATAGTATCACAATGTGATAATTCCCACTCACTTTAGAGAAATGTGCAGGTGGGAAACTGAGCGTTAAGGCTCGTTTGATATCCGTATAATAAGAAACAAAGCTGCAACAATGTCAGAAAATCAGGAATGTGTAGTTAACATTAAAGGCAGCCTGGTGGATCAGACCAAAGGCCTATCTGAGGACACTTAGGTCCAGCTCTGAGGGCCTTCTGGCAGTTCCCTCGCTGCGAGAAGCCAAGTTACAGGGAACCAGGCAGAGGGCCTTCTTGGTAGTGGCACCCGCCCTGTAGAACACCCTCCCACCAGATGTCAAAGAGAACAACAACTAGCAGACTTTTAGAAGACATCTGAAGGCAGCTCTGTTTAGGGAAGCTTTTAATGTTTAATAGGTTATTGTATTTTAGTGTTCTGTTGGAAGCCGCACAGAGTGGCTGGGGAAACCCAGCCAGATGGGTGGGGTATAAATAATAAATTATTAGTATCTAGTCCAACATCCTGTTCCCACAGTGGCCAACCAGATCCCTATGGGAAGCCCAGAAGCAGAACCTGAGTGCAAGACCACAAACACGAGTATTCTCATGACTCAAATTAAATTTCTTACCCCCGTCTCTTCCTGTCCACCCACGCCTGGTCTCTGTTGTCTTCTTCTGGGTCATAGAACAACTCATCATTAGTTGGAATTCGGCGTTGCTGATGTTTCCTTTTTTTCCTGGTTTCTGGAGCAACTGTTCAAGTTCACACAGATACAGTTAGAACACACACCCCAAAGAACATGACTCAGAAGCCTATTTGGTAATGAGCCTCCCTTGCAAAAGTTGCATGCTAATAAGGTGAATGGCACTGCCATGAGTTGGGCGAATGAAGCCCGAAGCTGTTACAAGATGTACAGTGGTGCCCCGCAAGACGAATGCCTTGCAAGACGAAAAACTCGCTGGACGAAAGAGTTTTTCGTTTTTTGAGGTGCTTCGCAAGACGAATTTCCCTATGGGCTTGCTTCGCAAGACGAAACGTCTTGCGAGTTCTTGCGAGTTTGTTTCCTTTTTCTTAAAGCCGCTAATAGCCGTGCTTCGCAAGACGAAAAAACCGCAAGACAAAGAGACTCGCGGAACGGATTAATTTCGTCTTGCGAGGCACCATTGTACATCTGAACCCACGTTTGTGTATCTTCCTATGCACACTCCCAATATTAAACTAAGAGGTTTTAGGTTTTTTCGCCAGAGTTATAACGTTTGTTTGTTACGAATATGTGTTAACCTTGTGTCCAGAAGAAATTCACACACAAGAGGAATAAAGAATGATTGGTTTATTACTTGAAATGAAAATGGAAGAATCTATGGTTGCTGCTTCAGACAGCAAAAGTGCAATATAAGCAGGCAGCAAATCTTACTGCACAAACACCTTGATCTAAAGAGTAATAGGATCTGTAAATTTTCCAAAAGCCTGAAGAAAATAAGCGTGACAATTTGGTCACAATACCCACACTAAAAGGAAAAGGAGGCAGGGAAAGTATACCTGTCTGGAAGCAAAATGTGATGTACAGTGAAACTGAGTTCCTCGAGTTCCTTTTAATGCTAACAAAGCAATGAAGTCTGGAGTTTTTGTACTATTTTTGAGCCAATGCATTCTAATGAAGTGGGGTGTATTTTAGATGAGTGAACTGTCACGATACCTTTATTTCTTTGTTCCATTTTTTATTTTATATAAGTTTGTGTTTTATATAAGGTGTTTTATATAAGTTGTTTTATATAAGTTGTTTTATATAAGTTGGTGTTAATTAAGTTTGCTGTGCAACACAACCTACTGTGTTGATCTTTAGATAAACTATTCAGAGAACAGGGTGTTTCAGGATTGCCTTCCAGGACACGTTTAACATAAAGACTGGTGCAATGGAAAATTATTGTTATTATCTCATTTATATGCCACCAATCTGACTGGGTTGCTCCAGCCACTCTGGGCAGCTTTCAACAAAATTAAAAACACAAAATAGGCCATACTGGGCATCTCTTTTTATTATCACATTTATTACCACAGTAGTTCAGTCCATAGAGCATGAGATTCAATCTCAAGGTCATGGGTTTGAGCTCCACTCTGGGTAAAAGATTCCTGCGTTGCAGGTGGTTGGGCTAGATGACCCTTCATGGTCCCGTACAACACTACAATTCTATGAAATGTGAAATACTTCTGAAATTATGCCATTTATGTAGAATGTAAAGATTTGGTAGAGGCATTTGTCAAGAATCTAATAATAATAATAATCCTGCCACAACAATGAATGCAATATTGCAGATAAATATTTTATTACAACCCATTCTACATTTCTAAATATACTATCTTATCCAGCTGTGGTCAGATAATCATATATTGGCCTTAAAAGACAAAGTATGAAAAAGCCTTTTGTCCACACACACAATCCCTTTTGCTTCTTGAGATATAAACCCAAGAAGCCTCTAATTAACTAGATTCCCTTTTTATTTTAAGTGGGAAATGTTAATTAGAGGTGTCTTGGGTTCATTGCTTGTACGACGAGAGAAAGTGGTCATGTGTCAAGACAAAAAGCTCATCTTTATCTCTGCTTATTAAGCTGAGGTGATTATGTGACTTGGGATAAAGTACAATTGATTTCCAGAGACCAATGACTAAGCGAACTCAAGGAGGACATTTACCATGGTGTGTGAGGATGCAGGAAATTCATTCATCTTTCTAGAAGAATGAAGGCATTTAGTAGTCTCAATCACAAGGTCAGCTGCCTTGACACCAAATAGCATCCGTGATGCGAGGCATTAGCTTATTTAGTAGCTTCATGTACAGTTAGTTTACTACAGCAGGAGGAATTCCTTCATTTGCCCGAAGATCTCTTTAAGGAAGTGGTTCTCAACCTTCCTAATGCTGTGACCCTTTAATACAGTTCCTCATATTGTGGTGACCCCCAACCATAAAATTATTTTCATTGCTACTTCATAACTATAATTTTGCTACTATTATGAATCGTAATGTAAATATCTGATATGCAGGATGTATTTTCATTGTTACAAATTGAACATAATTAAAGCATAGTGATTAATCACAAAAACAACATGTAATTATATATATTTATTTCTAATTACAAATAAATGAAATTTTGTCTTGAAGCATGGTGTAGCATGGGTAACGGTCTTAATATAACAACAGTAAACTACATTGCTACATTTTGCGACAGTATGCGTAAAAAGCCAACGTCAGTGCGAATGTTGAGATTGCTTTTTTCTCTGTAGTAGCAACTTCAGAGAATAAATGTGGAATATTCCCTGTGTAGATAAGACAGGCGCTGACAGTTAAACGCTTCTGCCAACAATTAAAAATATACTGTATTTTTCCGTCTGTAGGACACCCCCATGTATAAGATGCCCCCTAATTTTGGACACTATTTTTAGGGGGGGGAACCTAGTCTTATACACGGAAAAATACGGTACATTACAAACAAGTCAAAGCTTCAGCATATTATTACCTTTTGAGAGCTCATTCATTGGAAGTCTTATGGATAAAGGAAATACACCAAAAGCAGAAGTGAATTTTGATGCAGGAAGCAATAATAATTGCAGTAAATAACCAGTTATTTACCTACTTTGTCTTCATCCTCTGAATCAGAGTCAAAATAAATATCATCATAGTACTTTGCAGGGGAACCTGTTCCAGACTGTCCAGCGTTAGACGTACTGCCTGAATCACAAAATGTATCACAAAATATGTAGTCAACATGGGATCACTATACAGAAAGAGATCTATGTTTTCTCTGAGGGTGCAGGTCTGCACACACTTACCTGGGAGTAAATTCCTTGCATACAAGAGCCCTGCAGTTCTGCTTCAGAGATGAGTAGGAATTTATAGCTCGCATCCTGATATTAGCCACTGCACTCCAATGAGACTCTGGCTACACAGGTTAAACTTTTTTATACCTCACTCAAAATGAGAAAACCCTCTTCTGTGAAACTAGGCATGAGGTGCTTTATCTCTCCCTTGTTTCTCATCAGAAGCATCTCACACATCCTGAATTAAGTGCTGTAAGGCAACCTTCTCCAACCTGTTGTCCACCTCCAGGTCTTTGGACTACAACTCCCATCAGCCCTTAGCCAGCATGGTCAATGGTAAGGGATAATGAGAATTGTAGTGCAAAACATCTGGAGGGCACCAGGCTGGAGAAGGTAGCCTGAAGGGGATGGGTTTGGCTGTAAAGCCTCTAAAAGGGGAGGGGAGTGAACTGAAGCAGCAGTCAAAATTGACAACAGTCCAGCATAAGATGTGCAGGAAGAGAGCTGTCAGCAAGTTCATATTGTCCCACAGTTTAAGATTTACCTGTTAGCTGCGATTTCCACTTGCCCTCTATATTTTTCATGGTGGAGTCCAGTTCTGCTTCCATTTCCTTTTGGAATTCATCTTCACTTGAAGATTCACTTTCTCCGGTTAGACATTCCCTTATTAGTTTGCGCTTTTGATCAGGGGTGCCATGCAAGAGCACATCTACTTCATCCTCAGAGCTAAAAGATAATAAAACATTGAAGACTGTCATTTCAAGATAAATGTGGCAAGTCTATTACTTTTAAAATTCTTTTTAAATACTGAGAAAATGGTTTTTTAAAACTTAGAATTGAAGAAATTTACTGATATTAACTCGATAGCAAAAAAGTTAGGTGTGTGTACTATACACTGTACACAGTGACAACTGGGGTGTATGGAGTGTTGGGGTGGTGGTGGTACACCTTTGGTCCTCCACCCTGCACTCAGCTCTCACCTGTGCCTCCTAGAAGCTGTCAGCATGCGACAGCAGCCACACTTCAGGAATGGCTTCAAATGGCTGGCTAAACCAAGTGCAGGTAACCAATCTCAAACTCTCAGTAAGTTAGGGCCTTCCCCTGCATGTGAAGATAGGCTCCAGCAGATTGATGAAGGTAAACAGGGAGTGTGATACAGGTAAATTGCTTTGTATATTAACAACAAACCACAACCCAGCATAGTTGTGTTTTTAAGCTCATTAATATCAGTGGCCAAATCTTGCATCTGGTTTATTATTAGGAAAGTAAAGAAGGCTAAGGTACTAGACCCGGCATAGGCAAACTCTGCCCTCCAGATGTTTTGGGACTACAACTCCCATGATCCCTAGCTAACAGGACCAGTGTCAGGGATGATGGGAATTGTAATCCCAAAACATCTGGAGGGCCGAGTCTGCCTATGCCTGCACTAGACCTTGCCAATTAAAGTAATCAAAGTCGTTGTTCCTGTTTGTCTGCAATAATCTCATCACCTCCACCTGAGTTTGTTCAGTTGCTTTTCTCCCAACACACACAAAATAATCTTTTTTTTAGGACCCAAGACAAAGTGCTCCTGAGCACACAGTAGATCTCCTTTACACTTTCCTATCTATCTGTCTAGATGTGGTCTAGAATCTGGTGTCTGGCACCTCAGCCTGCCTACCCATCTAGGTCAGCTGCATCCCCAGATACATTTTACAGCATTGCAAAGGTTGCTTGTATGTCAGGTACCCACCTGACTCCATAGTCTCAGCTCTATTTTAAGTTGCTTCACCTAGCAGCTGGGAAGTACACCCCCCTCCTCTTATTAAGGGATAAAAGCTCCACACAGTGCATTTGCTCACAGTCTAGGTTAAATGGCTACTAAATGGAAAAATAATAGTTATGGAGCCATGGAAACACCCATGTTTCGCTATTTCTACAGGGGGAAACAGAACACAGAAGTCACTGGAGAAATGTGTGCGTGTGTGTGTACATGTAAATTTGATAATACCCAGACTCTACCTACTTATTTTTGTAAATTTAATAAACAGTAATCTTTATTTAAGTGAATACAAAGCTGACCCTGAGAACTGTTACAACTAGTGTGTTTTTTCTGGGGGGACGCAGGGGGACGCATACAGCCTAAACATTTTGTGAATCTAAGTTTGGCCTCATTGAGGGGCAGTATTTCAATATGAGTAGGAAAATGAGAGTGCCTAAACATTTTTTTTAGAAAAAAAAAGCACTGGTTACAACAGAAGGAAAGAATAGCGTGCCGATTTCCCCAATTAACAGAGAGGGGTGATTCCTGAAACTTGAAGCCCCTGTTTCATTTTTTAAAAAAATAGAACCATAAAGAAATATTTGGAGCTCTCAAGTTTTACCAAACCAAAATGCAGGTGAAGATAGAACATCCCGACTATTTCCTTCTGAGCGATTTCAGAGATATTATCCATGTTAACGTACCGAGAGAGCAGGAGGAAACTCCACCCCCCCCCTTCACACGTCTATTTACGTTCACACTAATCCCCACCCCGGCAAACACAGAGCGGAAAAGGAGAACCCGCCTCCCCTTCCCTATATATATCTCTCTAGACCTGCTCTGCGCCGGCTCCTCATCGCTCGGCTCCTCGATCACATAAGGGTCATCCTCCTCCCGCAGTCGGCTCATGGCGGCCCCTTCCTAACAAGCGGTCCCTACCCGTTTCCTGCCACCTCGGTCCATCAGGAAATGCTTTCCCCGTCTCTTCCGGTTCCGGCAAGCTTGGCGCTGGTTCTTCGTCCGACCTCCTACAACGCTTACGGCGAGCGTTCCAGAGGGACCCGGCCAGCAGCAATGGGCGGTCCGGCGTCCGGTTTTGTGCCACCCGATCTGCTCAAATGGTGATCGTCGCATGACACCTGCTGTCCGCAGGATTCAAGTTCCAAACGCTGGCTCTTCGAAGGCTAAGGAATCGGCTTTCCCCGCTCCTGTGGTTACCATTGTAAAAGAGGACGGGACTGCTCTGAACTTCCGTCGTTTGATAGAAGAGAGGATTGCAGCAAGCTCAGTTTTTCCTCTCCAAGCGCAGTATCTTCTCCGGTGCTTTATGGGATAGGATGCCCACGTTCATATCTTGACAGATGCATCGTTTGGAGATAAACATTGATATGCAACTTAAGCATTTTACTTTTATTGCAGTGTGCTGCTCCTAGCCCACTAGAAAGGTTCACTTTCCACACACCATACATGTAAATGGTTTCTCACTTGTGTGGATTCTTTCATGTCGAGTAGGCGTTCCTCGATGAGTGAAACACTTTCCACGCTCCCTGTGTGGATATCGTGACGTATATTTAATTGTGACTGATACCTATATGCTTCACCGTACACTGGTCATGTTTTCTTGCTGTTACTTTGCGATCTTTTTGTGAATTCCGAGGTACATAGACATCAGTGTTCTGAGTAATGGAGAATTTCATTTTCCCATTTTTCAACACATTTCCTACATGCTTTTGGGATTTACAAACGTCTCTTTGTGTGCTTCCACGCTGCACATTTTCTGAATGCACCACAGATGGCTCCTCCCATAATTCCTTACTGTTCTGCCTGTTACTTGCTTTGTGGGCTGGTGAAAAATAAATGTCCTTCAAATTGAAAGGCAGAAGCTGAGAATCTCATTATGGATCAAGTCCAGTTCTCTGCTATTCTCATTTTACCATTTCAAGCATATCCTTGAGGTTAACTTCTGAATATGCTAGTCTTGACAAAAACGAGCCCTTTCCTGCTGCATTTCCCACTTCCAGTCATTAAGCACTGATCTGTTTCTTTGCATTCATGGAGGATGTGAAGCAAGTGCTGATCATGGTTCATGGAATGGAGAGAGGAGGTGGCTGGGGAGCAGATGTGTAATGTGCAGGGAGTCCCAGGGGCCAGCTGGAGAGGCTTCAAAGGCCACATTTGCCCCCCCCCTGTCTATTTAGTCCAAGAGCCCTACAGGGGGCACCTAGATGCTGATAGGAAGCCCAGAAGCAAGACATAAAGGCAACAGACCTTTGCTCCCTCTCCTCCCAGAGCAAAAGGACCCTACAAGACAGCTAAGCATTTACTTGCTGATGTCTCCCCATCTACAGGATCCTGGAGAAAGGGGTTGTCCTTCCTAACAGGAACCGAAGACTGATTTGAGGAAAGATACATTAGTTACTTTTAGGCACACAAAAACCAGCCTTTTCAAATCAATCCTTGACCTCAAAGCCAATAAAAGGGATTATCCAGATCCTATATATATGCACCACATGACTAGTAGAGGACCATGTGGTTCCCACTGTTACAAGGTGTGTGTTGGAATCCACACGTGTCCAGCCCTCACATGTACATCCACTGCCAAGAGCTTTAGGACCTTTTGCTGGAATTTAAAATGTGTGTTTGTTATGTGTTTACCCTTAGCCTTATGCCCACAATAAGTTCACACACAAGAAGAATAAAGAAAGATTGGTTCATTACACTTGAAATGAAATTGACAGAATATTTGGATGCTGGATGGTGTCCTGATCAAGGAAAGCAATATCTCTATCCTGCCTTGTTCAAACCATATCTGGAGTACTGTGTCCAGTTCTGGGCACAGCTATTTAAGGAGGATATTGACAAGCTGGAATGTGTACAGAGGGTGGCCAAGATAACCAAGGGTCTGGAAACGAAGCCTTTTGAGAAATGGTTGGAGGAATTGGGTGTCAGCAACAGTGGGAAGTGCACTTTAAGAGGCTGAGGCAGGCAACACAACTCACTAGTTGATCAGGTGAAGATCATCAGGCTTGTTTGGTCTGGGAGGAGGGGTGACCACTCTGCTTGATTAAGCTCAGGACAGGTGAGGATCACATGCTTTGTTAAGTGGAGAGAAACAGCTGCTCAGCTGGAGCAAGCTCAGGTGCATCAAGGAAGATTGGGAGGAATCAAACAGAAACAAGGTTTGAAATGCTGGTTTGAAGCACTGTTGATGGACTTCAAACTTTCTCACTCCATTGGTCCCGAGCCTGTATTTGACCATTGGACTGTTTGACTTCTCTCTAGCATTGCCCTTGGGACTGTGTGCACTTTCAGCACTTACTTCAGACTATGCTGGGGGTTCAGGACACTCTATTTGAACAGAAATCTATTAAGTTGCCCGGCTGTATGCACATTAACTCAGAAATAAATTTCATTAAAATAAGGGTTAGCTCCAAAGTAATGTGAATAAGCTCCTGCCAACCTAACAGTTCGAAAGCATGCCAAAAGTGCAAGAAGATTAATAGGTACCGCTCCGGCGGGAAGGTAAATGGTGTTTCCGTGCACTGCTCTGGTTTCGGTGTTCCGTTGTCAGAAGCCGCTTAGTCATGCTGGCCACATGACCCGGAAAAACTCTCTGCGAACAAATGCCAGCTCCCTCGGCCTGTAAAGCGAGATGAGCATCACAACCCCAGAGTCATCTGCGACTGGACTTAACTGTCAGGGGTCCTTTACTTTTACAATGTTAACCACACTTGTGTCTTCCTGGCCCTCATGATACCTTTCCTGATCTACGATGTACACTCCAGTTGAGTTTCTAATACTCCAATATTGTGTTTTTAAACAACGCCCAAGCATTTTGGAGTGATTTGACCCTCTGGACTTTGCCTTTCATCTTCCTTTTTACCAACCTCATTTTGGGGACGTTTCCTCTTTTGAAATAAATGTGTTGGACCTCCTTGGGAATTGGTCATTTACATGTATATTTAATTTAACAGCACTACGTTCACTGCTCCCAGTTGGCTCAAAACCACGTACATCACACACCAAGTCCTGAGCACCACTCTATATTAAGTCAAGGGTTGCTGCCCCTCTGGTTGGTTCCAACACCAACTGTTCTAGGGCACAGTGACTTTGGGTGTCTATCAATTTTATCTCATTGTCATGACTAGAACACTTATATAGCTGGTCTATTTACAGATAGGTAGCCGTGTTGGTCTGCCATAGTCAAAACAAAAAAAATTCCTTCCAGTAGCACCAGTAACAGATAGCTGGTCTATGTGAAGGTAGTTTATGTCCCTCATTACTACAACGGACCCTCTTTTGAATGCTTCCTTGATTTCATTTTTCATCTCAAGAGATAGTTCAGTCTGAGAGACAGGCGAGTTGCCTGTTCTGGATAGGGTTGCATTCCCTCTGAAGGAATATATATGTAATGGAGGATGGGGATGCTCCTGGACCCATATTAGTAACTTGAAACACAGGAGGCCTCGGCGTCTAGGACTGCCTTTTATGAGCTTTGGTTGGTAAGAGTTATGGCTGTTCCTAGACTGAGGCTGCTTGGCCACCATGGTGTTGACATTGGTATTCTCAACACTGGATTACTGCAATGAACTCTATGTGGGATTTCTCTTGGGCTCAAGCCACAAGATGCATCAGTTAAGTTGTTGACTGAGGTACCCCATTCACATCCTATAATAGCTCTGCTGAGGGAACGGCACTGGTCACTAATGTGATACCAGGTGCAAGTTCCAAGGTTTCGCTTTTAGTTTTGCAAAATAATAAGGAAGACACAGTATAATATCAATTTTTTATTATTTTGTTCACAGAAGATTGAAACGGAATTATTTGCTGCTGCTTAATATGTTCTAGGCCTCAGCCAGAAAACATGTAGCTGTCTTATACCAATTATAGTTTATTCTGACTGGTAGGAGTTCTTCAGGATCTTGGGCAGAGAGTTTCCAGATCACCTCCTAATCCAGGCTTCCTCAACCTCGGCCCTCCAGATGTTTTTGGCCTACAACTCCCATGATCCCTAGCTAGCAGGACCAGTGGTCAAGGATGATGGGAATTGTAGTCTCAAAACATCTGGAGGGCCGAGGCTGAGGAAGCCTGTCCTAATCCTTCTAACTAAAAATGGCAGGAATTGAAGCTAGAATATTCTTGCATGGAAAACATGTGCTCTGTTCTGGGGCATGTGCCTTCACCAGAGGGTGGATGTTAGCAGGCTATGATACGTGGGGTGCCAGGATATTCAAGCTTCTGTCTTCAGAGGAGACACATAACCTCCTCTTTCTGCACCATGCAACTTGTGGAAATGCTTTTTTGGCTTTAGCCTTCATCTAGGTAGAATGAGAGGGCTCCAGTACTTTTAAGAATCCTTACAGAAGGGTGAATTTTGCCTTGTATGGGCTTTTCCCATCACTGCTGCAGCAATGAGGGAAACAGGATTTGGTTAACAACAACAACAAAATCTTCCTGTTCACCCCTTTAGAAATTTACAATAGATTCAAACTCTAGGCCTGGCAACCACAATCAAAATCCAAGCTGAAGTTTTCACACAGCTTTTGATACACAACTCTTCATTTTCAAGCTGAAATCTAAGCCTTACAGAGCTATACTGTAAGGAAGGAAGTCCTCAATGGAAATTAAGTGTCAGGTTGCAGCTGTAACCTGCATTCCTACAAAACAGTAATCATGTATGAAACAGTGTCTGTAGTATTGAAATTCTACAAACTTGCTTATTCATTTCAGTGGAAGAAGTTTCAAACATTCCTTCTTTTGTTCATGCAGAGCTGCTCTTTCCATAAAGAATGGAGAAACTCAAATAGGGGTTCTGTGTGTGCTTGTTATATTTTATGGTAGTTAGGAGGGAACCGACAAAATTAACACCTGAGTACGAAGTGAAGAAAATTGTAAATTCACAAGACAATGACTACAAAATTTTAGAAAAAAAATCACTGATTTCACAGTTTATTTTACA